TGAGCCACCGCGCCCGGCCTTGCTTTCCTATTACTGGTTACTACTCAGGAGTCCTATAGCTGACGATCATAAAGATTCTTAGCTTTTTTTTTTTTCTTCTTCTGGTCAAGTGAAGCATTGGGAGTGCAGAAGGAACAAAGGAATCTGTAACTGGGTTGTGATCAATTAGTTGTAAACACCACCGCACTTGGACCAACCTCTTAGCTTTCTTCATTGCTCCCATAGATAACATCACCCTTGTACACCCTAAGGCTTGTTTTAGAGATATCTTCCAGGCCCTGCATCTCCAGTGGACTGGCAGCCCCACCCAGACAGTGGTCCATACCAAGGAACTGACTCAACTGGTCTTTTGACCCCCAACCAGGAACTGGCTCAGCACAGTTTCTACATCCCTATGGTTCCATCTGGAACCCAGCCAATCAACAGACCCAACTGCCTAGCCCTTTGCCTGCCAAACTATCTTTAAAAATCCTTTCTCCCAAATTCTTGGGGAGACAGATGTGAGAATTTCCTTCCTTCTCCTCACATGGCACCTGCGATATTAAACTCTTTCTCCGTGGCAACACCCGTCTCAGCGTATCCGCTTCCTCTGGAGTAGCGGGCAACGAAACTAGATGGGCCGTGACAATCAGAGTTGGGTGATTTGATAATATTAAAGCTGAATGATGAGTTTATGGGATACTTCTGTCTTTACTTTCATACATATGTGGAATTTTCTATACATTTTTGAAGCTTATTTACCAGCTTATTGGGAGACTGGGATCTGACTGGGTCTAGAGTGGCGTGGGTTCCTTGACTAGCCTCAGTTCTGGCTCAAAGCCCACACTAGGCCTCAGGCATCACAGGCGTGGGGATCACAGGGCACTGGGCATGAGGATCTTCGCAGACTATGCTTTCATCTGTTGTATCTCCGTAAGAAAAAAATGTGTCAAGCTGTAAAACACATCCCCAAGTGGTAAGCCCACTTGGGACCGTGTCACAGTGCTAGGCAACTAAAAAGGGTGCTTCCTTCAAACAATTTACAAGACATTAATATTCAACCAACTATAAAGGCTAATGGTCAAGTTCTGCCTCCAGGCACTGAGAGTTCAAGGCAGCATGAATAGACATTTCCCAGGAGCTTCTGAATAGAGAATCTGGGCCTGTTTATGTAAGGTCTGGCCTTTTAAAAAGTCAAGAATTTGTACGATTGAGGGAAAAAAGGTCAGCCCTCACCCTGTTCTTTAAGGTCACATTATGGGGCAAAGGAAAGAGAAGCTAAATTCTGTCCAGTAAGCACAATTCAGAGATTCTGCCTCAGTTTTCTTCACTGATTCAGATTTCTTCCTTTAGTAGGTCAAGTCAGACCTTCCATGCTAATGTAACAAATGTATTCTTTTCTCTTAGTTTTATGTTTATCAGAAACTAAAAAGCTGTAGTTAAAGCCTATTTCTCAGAGCATATCATTTGTAAAGGCTATTCATTTTCACGTAAATAAACTAAGCTATTTTGAAAACTGAAATGACTAATAAATCAATTATAAAATTAAGAAAAAATACCATTTTCTATTTCAAGTGTTTCCTGTTTTAAAAAGTAGTTTTGGACAATGGTTTAGGGAATCTAAAGCATGGTAACATGCCAGATAGTAAAAATTTTGGATTTCCTTAAGCTCACTGTCAATAGAACACCAAACCAAAACAATTATTAGTAGACATAAGCCTTTATCTAAACATGGCAAATAAAAGGTCCAAATAAGGCCCAAAGTAATGGCAAGCAGCACAAATTATAATATTCCCGTGCTTAAAATAGCAGCTGGAGTAGAGGGTGAACAACCAAATCTCAGTGTCTAGGAGAGCATTCCACAGGAGGTCCATGTGCCCAGCAACAAAACAAAACAAAATACCACCTGGGGAAAAATAATTTTGGAGGCCACTGCAATTGGAAAGAGCAATAGGTGATTATTTCTGTGACTGGAGGGATGAAAGTCGTGCTACCATTCAGCTTCCCAACCAGCGAGAGGGGTGGCTGGGAGGGCGTCAGGGAATCAGAAGGTCAGCGTGTCAACCGCTGAGTGACACGAACCAACTTCATGGGCTTCAGATGAGCCTCCAAGCTCACAAACCCCAGAGTACTCGTGTCCTTTTCTCTGTAGTGACTGGTAGTCAATTGTCCATTAAAATTGTTAAAATTCACTTGAATTAATTCCTTCCTTCATTCATTTCAACCATGTGATAAAATATGATAAAAATAATCAGACATTTATTTTAAATGTCTATGCAGCCAGCTTATAGTCCTCTGAAAGACAGAGCCAATAAGATTGCTTCCCTGCCAGACAGTATTTTGGAAAGGAAGAACCTTACCCTCCCATTGAAACCCCAGCCGCCAGAAAAGGAGCAGAGGGGAACAGGCTGTGCACATGGTGAATAACTGTCTCCAGGTCTTCAGTGTTAGCACAACAGTAAGTCCTTGGCGTCTGGAAGTAGTGACAAGTAAAGCACAAAAATTAAAATGTGAGGTTAATGATTTGTATCATGCAGAAATGCAAATAAGAGCAAGACATCGTAAGTATGAGAAAACCACCTTTGCATATACTACAGTAATAATAATTTATCATTTCCATATCTTGCAGTGCACATATATGCCATTTAAAGTCAACACGATTTGAGTTAACAAAATGACTGTGAACATGCAAGGAAGGCTTGATGCAAATGGGACGAGACCAGTACAAGTACCTTAAATTAAACAGATACGAAATGCCATATGCAGGCCGGGCGCGGTGGCTCACGCCTGTAATCCTAGCACTCTGGAAGGCCGAGGC